GAATAGATGACACCAAGCTGACCTGCAACAGAAAGAGAAGATTTCGGCGGTGGTTCGTCCACCCGGGGGCACTCCGACGATCAAGTCAGTATATCTCTCAAAGATAATCAATAGTGCTAAACTCACTATTTAGAATATAAATTGCGTACCTTAGACCCATGTGGGTGCCTCTCTTTTATAGCTAACTCAATCCTTGTCCCAACAGGAGCCTAGCTCTAATGGACTTTAGGATTACTATTAATCTTGGATTCCCAGTAGGATTGGGATAAACTCCCTAAGAGTCTTATCCTTTCCTAACTGTAGTCTTCCCCCTTTCTAGGACTCTTGTGCCTTATCCGCTTATCTCGGATTCTGATATCTTCGGAGGTAACCTCGGTCTCGCCAAGATAACCTCGGCGTCATGACCAGGACACGTGGCACCTCGGCTGACACGTCGGCGTCACCTTAGCTACGTGTTGGTACTCAGAAAATATATCCCCACAAAATACAACCCTCCACGGTTGCCCAAACAATCTTCTCTATATAAAATATAAACTTCAAGAGATAAATCTAACTCATAATCTCATATTTTCAATGATTTCAACAAAATCACATGTTCAATCTCATGTTTCCCAACTCAGTCAAAAATCATAATATTAAAAGAAAAACAAACAAAAAAAAAACATCAATCTTCCCTTTTTATTCAAACTCAAGAATTTATCAATAATTTTCATAATGCCAAAAATAACATACATTTCTTTCAACAATTCTCAATACCTCAACATAATAATATTTTCATCTTTCTCAAAAGTTTAATATTTTCAAATTTAATAATTTTGAAAAGAAACCTCAATGGTTTTCAATATTCCAAACAACATTCTCATCAATCTCATCCCTATAAACATCCACTTTCAAATTCTCATTTGTTCAAATAAACATATATTTTTAACTCTTGTAAGCTTATCACAAACTCATTCCAAAAATCTAAATCTTAACATTTAAATTTCTAGATTTTATTAAAATTTGGGGATTTCTCAAAAATAAAATAAAATAGAATAAATTACATTCCTCAACATCCATGAGTCATAAAAAAAAAAAAAAAAACACAACTAACAACAATGTGTTTGGTTTGAATTTTTTGGATTAAGTTTTTTGAAAACTGAGTTTTTTTGTTTTCGTGTTTTTTTGTTTTTGTTTTTAGTGAATAGTTTTAAAATTTTAAATATTTTTTTTTTACTTTTTTAGATGTACCTTACTTAGATGTATCTAAAAACATAAAAAAATTATGAAAAAATATTTTAAAAAATTAATAAATACATAAAAATACAAAAAATGAATTGAATTTTCGTTTTTTTTTTTGTATTTTTAGTGTTTAGTGAATTTTTAAAAGGTTTTTTCCACAATTTTTTTTTTTATTTTTTGGGTATATTTATGTTAGGTATGTCTAAAAATTAAAAAAAATTGCTTAAAATATTAAAAAAATTCAGTAAAAATAAAAAAATACGGAAAACAAAAAAGTAGAATTTTCTGAAAAGTGTTTTTGAAAATCTCTTACCAAGCAAAGTGGGATTTTCAAAGAAAGTTGAGAACCTCCCATTTTTTATACATTCAATATACCATTAATAAAACCTTAATTTTTTCAAATATCACAATATCAAAATAACACATAATAAAGTTAAAACACATGCACAATATTTAAAAAATCCCTACCTTAAAAGCTAGAAGAGGAAACAAGCAAAAATTTCAATTTTCGACTTTGTCAGATTTTGATCTCCACCAGTCAAAACATTGCTCTCACCAAGCTCTTCACTTTGGTCTCAAGAACATGGGTCTAAAACCTAATAGAATTTGGTGGATCATAGATTTTTCATAGGGATGGCAATTTGAACTCGGCCCGACGGGGACCCGACCCCCCGACCCTGAATTGAGCGGTTTTTCCCAAAAAAAAACCCCGACAGGCCAGGGATGGTATTTAAAAATAAATTCCCGATGATGTTCGGGCTGGGGGTGGGGATACATTTTCCAACCCCGGCCCCAGCCCCGGCTCGCCTTGTTTAGCCCCCCGATTATGTTCATATAGGTATAAATATATATGTGTGTTGTGTGTTTATATATATAATATTATATATATATATATGTGTGTGTGTGGTGTGTGTGTTTGGTACAAAAACATAACACAGAATATATATGTGTGTGGTGTGTGAGTTGGCACAACAAACAACACAGAGGCATCATCTGGTTTGGGCCCTCTCTCTCTCTCTTCTCTCTTTCTCACTCTCACTCTCTAACACACAACCACAGAGCTCCCTCACCGCCGACTTATCTCCCTCTCACGGTAGGTATCTCCGTCTCTCTCTCTCTCTCACGGATCTCCTTTTCTCTCTCTGTCTCTCACGGATTTCCTTCTCTCTCTCTCTCTCTCTCTCTCTTTTGCTTTTGTTCTTTAGATCTAGAAAATGATGGAGATGAAGATGAAGATGTTGATGAAGATCCGTTGGTGATGAAAATGATGAAATGTTTTTTTATCTGTTAGATCTGTTGTTGTTGTTGTTGATGATGAATTTATTTTCTGGAGCTATTTTTTTTGGTCGGGAATTTTGGGGTCGGGGAAACCCGATCCCCGTTAAGGGGCGGGGGCGGGGGCGGGGGCAGTGATGAGCTCCCCGTCGGGGTTGGGACCGGGGACGGGGGGAGTTTCCACCATCGGGATGCGGGGATGGGGAGGGTGATCCCCGGCCCTGACCCGCCCCGTTGCCATCCCTAATTTTTCATGATAAACGTAATAAGAAAAAAAAACCAGAGAGAGAGAGAACAGAGAGCCGAGAGATAGAGAGAGGGAGAGAGGGAGATATAGCTCTGCAATTGAAAAAAAGAAGAAAAGAAGTCAAGTTGATTGGGATGGGCAACCCTTCCACGTGGGCTTGCTGCCTCAACTCACCTTCCTTTTTTTTTTTTTCACACCCATATATATATATATATATATAACTAAAGGTATATTTTAGGAACATTATAATATTTTGTAACATAAATAATAAAATGATATAATTATTTTCTCACCACAAAATACATTTCGTTTAATGGTACACACCATAAATATTCGTAACTCTCATGATAACAAAATAAATAATAATAATAAATGGTTACAAACGAGTCGTGATTTGATCAAATGAGTCCAAAATGATTGCAATTTAATAATTTAGAATAAATCTCTAACTGAGATTAAAGAATAAAATAATTTAAATAGACTCAAGGTGATTCCCACCATTCACATTAATAAATATGAACCAAAATGATTAAGTATGGACTACTCAAATAAGTCCCAAAAATTAAATTTATATCTCATTTAATATTCAAGACCCAAGAATAATTAAAACTCAAAAAAAAAAAATAAAAAAATAAATTGTTAAGCGGCCCTTACGAAGTCAAAATCAAGAAGTAATATAATTTATTTTTTACCAATTTAAATAGAATAGTTCATGACACCACATCAATAATAATAAGGGCAAAAATTCAATTTGATTCAACTCGTTACAATTGAGTTTTTCTCATATTCACATCTCAACATGAGAAAATTTGAAGGAGCCATGAGACCCACCATAAGTCTCAATTCGATGATTCGAGCTATTCATTTTGTGGAGTCTTCAATGTATATCATTCATAAAAAAAGAAAGAAAGAAAGTTTAATCCAATTATTGTAACTTTTTTACTTTATCGCATTTGTCTCAAAAGAATGACCGATAGATATATTTTTAAAAGTAGATCATTTATTTTTTGAGATAAATATGATAAAATAAAAAACAAACCCTATCATCTTTGTTTCTACTAACAATAACAATTTTAGTAGTGTCAATTTTTAAAACTTGTCCAAAATTTCACAAAGATCACATTACTATTAAAAACTTATCATGTAGCTATGCCCTCGATTACCAAGAATTAATTTAGTGATTTTGAAACAAGTCTGTGCATATTATTTATATTGAGATAATTATTTAGTTATTTTTTTAAAAAATTAGCATAAAAATAATAAATCCTATTGTTTAAACTAATAAAAACTATAAGCAGAAAATGTATTTGTAAGACCATATTATTTTGAAAAATGCTCTATTCTCCCAATTCCCTTCCCTCTCCTAAAAAAAAAAACTCACCCCAATGATGTGACATTGCTCTATAATTTTCCTATGTTTACCTATCATTGCTTAAGCCTCATTCAACAACTTTTATTTTAACTAAAAAAGTGAAAAAAAAATATCAAAAACCTATTAAACGAGGAAAAAAAAAATAAAATAAAAAACAATTCTCATAATCCAAATATTCATGTTTTTTTTTTCTTCATAAAACTAAAAAAAATTCATTCTTAAATGTCTTAATTATTTTCTTTTACAAAAAAAATAAAAATAAAAAAACTACAAATTACTAAAAAAAATTAAAAGATTGTTTAAAAAGTATTACGTTAATATACTTTTTGACTTTTTACGAAAAAATGTAAAATATAAATCTTAAAATAATATAAGAGATAGATAATCGGGATATTTTTTTTAAGGTCCTTGATATTATGATTTTATAGTATAAAGGACATCAACTATTTTCATGATGTCTAAGGTCCCTCAACATCAATCCAGAGAAATTTCAGTCCAGAAAAAATTCGATCCAGAGAAAATTCAACCAGAGAAAATTCAATCCAGAGAAATTCTCTTCCTCTCTTCAATGCAATATTTTCATCTTAGACACGATAAAACCTGTGAAAACTCAATGAAACTTGTGAACTCAACGTTCTGACCTTTATGCTTTGTGTACTGCAACAAGAAAGGATAGTTATATTTATAGATTGGCGGTGTCGGTAGCATTTACAACTATTAATTCACGGATGAATGAAGAAGAAATTAAAAAACAAAACCAGCCAAGAAAATCAAGCCCAAACAATTGAAAAGAAGATCAATGAATTCAAAAAACACTGGGACACCAACTCAAAGAAGCTTCAACATCACCTGAAAAACCAAAAATTTCATGTTAGATATACCAAGCAACAGCATGAGAGAGAGAGTAATCAGAAAAATTGCCACTCTAGCCTAATTTTTATATGTATAATAGACAACAACCTTGCAGCTTCGGTAGAGTTGGATCAACAAGAGGCAATTTAGAGTTGGACCCCCTTGCTCGCCTCGAAAGAAACCGGTCAAAATGAACCCAGAGAATTTGAATTTTCTCTGGGTTGAATTCAAAGAAAATTCAAATTTCTCTGGGTTGAATCCAGAGAAATTTGAGAAATTCTTGGGGCATGAGCTCCAAGACAGACCACAACCTTGCAGCTTCGGTACAGTTGGATCCCAATTTGGATGTTGAAGCTTCGTTGCAGTCTGCCAAGTACTTTCCAGAAACGTTTTCAAGCCTCAGCTGACCTTCCCTAAACCTCCCACTGTAAATTTCTCTGCCCTCCTGGACTCAACACTCCAGAGAAATTTGAAAATTTCTCTGACTTCACTGGCCTTCCCACAAAATTACCTCTCCAGAGAAATTTTAAATTTCTCTGGCCTCCTTGGCCTTTCATGGACTCTCCAGAGAAATTTCAAATCTATCTCCCTTCCATATGCTTCCATCGACACATTTTCTGCAACAATATCATAGCTCAGAACATTCAATATGAAATTTCATGAAACACATTAATACATACCAGTGGAAAAACCATTTTGCCACCCTAAACATTTCCAAGCAGTGTAAGGCATGGAACCTTCCTAGAACCCCATCAAGCTTTGAAAGTTGAGCATAGACCACAACACTAGGACTCACCCTTGCCTATAGCAAATATACATGACATTAGTACATAGAAAACCAGAAAAAACAACAGCAAGCCACCAATTCAATAGACAAAAAGTGTTTTAAATTATGTAATTTTTGAAAAGCTTCATACCACCAGAGCACTTTGGTAAGTGGCAAATATGACCAGAGAATTTTCTGTCCAGAGAAATTTTGTCTAGAGAAATTCTCAGAGAAAATTTACACAGTGGCCAAAATCTCAGAGAATTTCTCTGGACAGAAATTCTCTACCAAGAAAATGGGTTGGCTCTCTCTCTCTCTCTCTCTCTCATGATTTAATGAGAGATTGTTCAGGCCAAGTTCTATGTAATAGATTGAGTAGATGTAGGAGTTGATTCAATACACTGCATTTTTATACACATTTGCCCTATTGTTCTTCTTCGGGGAAGAATCTCTAATCCTTTGAATCCTTTTCCACTACTTAAACTCGTTGTTTTATGAACTTAAGTATATTTAGGCCAACTTCATACCATTCTGCCAACAAGTTATTGGTTTTATTGCAACTGACTTGAGTCAATGAACTTATGAACCTCAGAAATGTTCTTGGTATTTTTTTTTTCATGCTTTTTTTTGCTTTCCATTCAGATATATTGGAGAGCTATTCCGGGTCACCCTCCCTAGCAGCAGATACAGACCACTTCTTGGATCCTCATGGTAGGAAAGAACACCAAGGTGAGGGTTTTGGCATTGTTCATTATATATCAAATCACAAAGAGGGTGATTGATATTTGTGTCCTGGCACCCACCTTTAGTAAAAAGTCAGTTACGTCCAACAACAGCAACTTGGCTTCAAAATGGGAGACCACAAAAAGATTGAGACCACAAAAAAATATATATTCATGAATATAAAGCCTTTTTGTGGATTATGAATATATATTTCAAATAAAAAGGTTAAGACCACAAAAAAATATATATTCATGAATATAAAGCCTTTTTGTGGATTATGAATATATATTTCAAATAAAAAGGTTAAGACCACAAAAAAATATATATTCATGAATATAAAGCCTTTTTGTGGATTATGAATATATATTTCAAATAAAAAGGTTAAGACCACAAAAAAATATATATTCATGAATATAAAGCCTTTTTGTGGATTATGAATATATATTTCAAATAAAAAGGTTAAGACCACAAAAAAATATATATTCATGAATATAAAGCCTTTTTGTGGATTATGAATATATATTTCAAATAAAAAGGTTAAGACCACAAAAAAATATATATTCATGAATATAAAGCCTTTTTGTGGATTATGAATATATATTTCAAATAAAAAGGTTAAGACCACAAAAAAATATATATTCATGAATATAAAGCCTTTTTGTGGATTATGAATATATATTTCAAATAAAAAGGTTAAGACCACAAAAAAATATATATTCATGAATATAAAGCCTTTTTGTGGATTATGAATATATATTTCAAATAAAAAGGTTAAGACCACAAAAAAATATATATTCATGAATATAAAGCCTTTTTGTGGATTATGAATATATATTTCAAATAAAAAGGTTAAGACCACAAAAAAATATATATTCATGAATATAAAGCCTTTTTGTGGATTATGAATATATATTTCAAATAAAAAGGTTAAGACCACAAAAAAATATATATTCATGAATATAAAGCCTTTTTGTGGATTATGAATATATATTTCAAATAAAAAGGTTAAGACCACAAAAAAATATATATTCATGAATATAAAGCCTTTTTGTGGATTATGAATATATATTTCAAATAAAAAGGTTAAGACCACAAAAAAATATATATTCATGAATATAAAGCCTTTTTGTGGATTATGAATATATATTTCAAATAAAAAGGTTAAGACCACAAAAAAATATATATTCATGAATATAAAGCCTTTTTGTGGATTATGAATATATATTTCAAATAAAAAGGTTAAGACCACAAAAAAATATATATTCATGAATATAAAGCCTTTTTGTGGATTATGAATATATATTTCAAATAAAAAGGTTAAGACCACAAAAAAATATATATTCATGAATATAAAGCCTTTTTGTGGATTATGAATATATATTTCAAATAAAAAGGTTAAGACCACAAAAAAATATATATTCATGAATATAAAGCCTTTTTGTGGATTATGAATATATATTTCAAATAAAAAGGTTAAGACCACAAAAAAATATATATTCATGAATATAAAGCCTTTTTGTGGATTATGAATATATATTTCAAATAAAAAGGTTAAGACCACAAAAAAATATATATTCATGAATATAAAGCCTTTTTGTGGATTATGAATATATATTTCAAATAAAAAGGTTAAGACCACAAAAAAATATATATTCATGAATATAAAGCCTTTTTGTGGATTATGAATATATATTTCAAATAAAAAGGTTAAGACCACAAAAAAATATATATTCATGAATATAAAGCCTTTTTGTGGATTATGAATATATATTTCAAATAAAAAGGTTAAGACCACAAAAAAATATATATTCATGAATATAAAGCCTTTTTGTGGATTATGAATATATATTTCAAATAAAAAGGTTAAGACCACAAAAAAATATATATTCATGAATATAAAGCCTTTTTGTGGATTATGAATATATATTTCAAATAAAAAGGTTAAGACCACAAAAAAATATATATTCATGAATATAAAGCCTTTTTGTGGATTATGAATATATATTTCAAATAAAAAGGTTAAGACCACAAAAAAATATATATTCATGAATATAAAGCCTTTTTGTGGATTATGAATATATATTTCAAATAAAAAGGTTAAGACCACAAAAAAATATATATTCATGAATATAAAGCCTTTTTGTGGATTATGAATATATATTTCAAATAAAAAGGTTAAGACCACAAAAAAATATATATTCATGAATATAAAGCCTTTTTGTGGATTATGAATATATATTTCAAATAAAAAGGTTAAGACCACAAAAAAATATATATTCATGAATATAAAGCCTTTTTGTGGATTATGAATATATATTTCAAATAAAAAGGTTAAGACCACAAAAAAATATATATTCATGAATATAAAGCCTTTTTGTGGATTATGAATATATATTTCAAATAAAAAGGTTAAGACCACAAAAAAATATATATTCATGAATATAAAGCCTTTTTGTGGATTATGAATATATATTTCAAATAAAAAGGTTAAGACCACAAAAAAATATATATTCATGAATATAAAGCCTTTTTGTGGATTATGAATATATATTTCAAATAAAAAGGTTAAGACCACAAAAAAATATATATTCATGAATATAAAGCCTTTTTGTGGATTATGAATATATATTTCAAATAAAAAGGTTAAGACCACAAAAAAATATATATTCATGAATATAAAGCCTTTTTGTGGATTATGAATATATATTTCAAATAAAAAGGTTAAGACCACAAAAAAATATATATTCATGAATATAAAGCCTTTTTGTGGATTATGAATATATATTTCAAATAAAAAGGTTAAGACCACAAAAAAATATATATTCATGAATATAAAGCCTTTTTGTGGATTATGAATATATATTTCAAATAAAAAGGTTAAGACCACAAAAAAATATATATTCATGAATATAAAGCCTTTTTGTGGATTATGAATATATATTTCAAATAAAAAGGTTAAGACCACAAAAAAATATATATTCATGAATATAAAGCCTTTTTGTGGATTATGAATATATATTTCAAATAAAAAGGTTAAGACCACAAAAAAATATATATTCATGAATATAAAGCCTTTTTGTGGATTATGAATATATATTTCAAATAAAAAGGTTAAGACCACAAAAAAATATATATTCATGAATATAAAGCCTTTTTGTGGATTATGAATATATATTTCAAATAAAAAGGTTAAGACCACAAAAAAATATATATTCATGAATATAAAGCCTTTTTGTGGATTATGAATATATATTTCAAATAAAAAGGTTAAGACCACAAAAAAATATATATTCATGAATATAAAGCCTTTTTGTGGATTATGAATATATATTTCAAATAAAAAGGTTAAGACCACAAAAAAATATATATTCATGAATATAAAGCCTTTTTGTGGATTATGAATATATATTTCAAATAAAAAGGTTAAGACCACAAAAAAATATATATTCATGAATATAAAGCCTTTTTGTGGATTATGAATATATATTTCAAATAAAAAGGTTAAGACCACAAAAAAATATATATTCATGAATATAAAGCCTTTTTGTGGATTATGAATATATATTTCAAATAAAAAGGTTAAGACCACAAAAAAATATATATTCATGAATATAAAGCCTTTTTGTGGATTATGAATATATATTTCAAATAAAAAGGTTAAGACCACAAAAAAATATATATTCATGAATATAAAGCCTTTTTGTGGA